TGGCAGAAAGAGTCATTAAAAAGGGAAGACCTGTAAACTTGTCTAGTTTTATACTGACCGAGGTAATTAAGCCATGAACAGGCGTGCAAAAGATTGTCATTTGAATACTGACAAAATAAGTAGAAGTATTTCTGCCCTTACTTAAAATCATTTAACATGATAAATGCATGTTTAAGAAAAAAGGACTTCAAGTGTGCTCTGTATACTCTGTATGTAGAGAAAGTGTAAGAATTTCAGAGGACTCGGCATTGATCTAAAAACTGTTTTCTTTGAAGCAAATGATAAAATAGGAGCAGAGCCTGAGAACCCAGCCAGAAGCAGGTACATTTCAGTATGCAATGTACAATGCTGGTGCTGTATTATCAATACATAAATGAACTAATTACTAATGAAATAAAAATTCCTTTATTTCAGTGGTCTTTTTACCAAGATTTTCCGTTTGGAAGTTAATGGTTTTAAGAACAAATGTATTCTGTACTCTTGAGAAAAGAATTTTTCTTTGGTCTTAACTATTTTGTCATGGATGGCTCACAATGCAGAAAGAAATGCACACACATGGAAACAGTCCATTACTAAACAATATTATTCTTTTTTCTAAAAAATAAAAGAGAGAGAGAGAGAGACTGACCATATGAAGGAAATAAAAGAGGGATTAGATGGAGCTGCAAGAAGAATTAACCTATATTTTGAACCTTCCTTTTCCAGGTCCTGAGGAAAAGGAGGTTTAGAAAACAGGCTTTTTGCTGCTCTAGTTTCTATAACATCTTTAAAGTTCTGCTGCTTTTTCGTAATATGCAGACTTCTTAAGAACTTGCTAAAGAAGTGAATCAGACCATAAAGAGTGTTTTAAATGGAGCACAGACGTCTGTAGTCTGACAGAACTAATGTTTTTATAGTGCACTTCCCAAGGATTTGCATGCAGTTCTACAAAGAAAAGCTGCTTACTCATTCTTAAACAAAAAAGATTTCTTCTGTGACATTTGTGAAGCAGAGAAGAACCAACAAGCTGTACAATGCATACAAATGCTTACCATTCATGACATCAAATCCATATAAATCAGTCTAACTTGATAGAAGGAAAAATAATTTTCTTGTACAGAAATCTTTCCAGTTTCTGTAGTATATACCAAGACCCAAAAGACATCATGCATTATTTAAGCCAAAACTAAGTACAAAATATTTAAAGGACACACGGTAAACTCATGCTCAGGGATTTTTATGATGGCATATGTACATCAGTAGACAAAGGAAGAGCCACTGATGTCATCTATCTGAACTTCAGTTAAGGCCTTTGACAGGTCTCCTGTAACACCTTTCTCCCCAAACTGGAAAGATATGGGTTTGATGGTGGACTGTTCAAGTAACTGACAAGAAACTCATTGTGAGATCATACTCAGAGAGCAGTGGTCAATGGCTCGGTGCCAGGATGGAGATGAGTGACAAGTGGTGTCCTGCAGGGTCAGTACTGGGACCAGTGCTCTTCAACATCTTCATCAATGACATAAGACAGTAGGATTGAGTGCCCCTTCAGCAAGTTCGCAGGGTATGCCAAGCTGCGGGGTGTGGTCGACATGCCCAAGAGTCAGGATGCCATTCAGAGAGACCTAGACAGGCTCCAGCAGTGAGCCCAGGTGAATGTCATGAGGTTCAGTAAATCCAAGTACAAGATCTTGCGCCTGTGCTGTAGCCTTAATTCATAGAATTTATGTCTGTGTCTCATGCAGTTGTTAGCCCTCCTCTCTGGCTCCACCACACATTTCATCAAGGACCATTCTTTACATTCTAGTTTAACCACAGCTTTCTCATATTGTTTAGTTCCAAAGCAAAGAAAGCACCAAAGCTAAGCATTTTAACATTTGAGCAGTTAATGTATCCATCTTTTTTTGCCATGAAAGATCCCATTGTCTCTGGCACATGGCCTGTAAGGTTCTTAAGAAATTATGCATATTTGTATTTTTTTGGCAGTCTTCTGAAGCATTCATATGCATGGATTTTTTCTTTCTGTGTTATTCTAGATATAACTATTTATAAAGAACAATTTTGCTGAGTACAATTGAGCAGCATTAGGAATAAATTTTATGTTTGTATGATCACTTTTTTAACAAAGTGGAATTGCACAAATGTATTCATTGGCTTTTAAGCACTGGGAGTTTCTCAGTTGCAACAAATTTTCCAGACAGGAGGGAAACACCTTAATCAATCTGATCTATTGGCTTATGTTTCAAAAGAACTCAAAATTAGCTTCAAGTACTAATTCCACATGGACCAAAGCACACTGGCTATGTACATATAAGCAGACTTAAATATTACTAGTTTTTATTACCCAAATGTAGCATCCCTTCCTCACGTCTCTACAACAAAAAAAAAGTGGTAATATTGTGGTAGAATAGGAAATAAAAGTAATTTTTTAAAAATACATAAATATAAACTATTCAATGTTCAGTATTTCGTGCACAATGTGGCACTTTACACCATTTTTCTAAGGGCCTAATCTGGAGCAGTATAATTTCCCAACTGCAAATCGCTTTAAAGCATATTTTTCCATCATTGGTTCCTCTTCCATCATTCTTCATTTGGAATCTGAATAGTTAAGAGTGATAGCTCTGTGCAACCCATTAACTCTTATTTTGTTAGTACAGTTCTCAGCAAATCAAATATAATATACACCATATTGCCTACAACTAACTGCAGATGGAAACAAAATCCTGCAGAGCTAAAAGGATTCTACCCATTGTGAATTAGGGAGTCAGTCCGTCACAAGAGATCCACAGACTGACCAGAAACCATTCTGTGTGAACGGCTTCTGGGCAGAGAATGTTGCCTACTATGATGATGAAACTGCCATACATCACAGAAATACTTGGAAATAACTCATAATAATAACTTCTGATACAATAAAACTACTTCAGTCAGTCTGATTTTGGAGTTTGATCATTTACATAGTAATCACATACAAAAGCACAAAGGGGTTATTAGTCCACAAATTTGCAGCAATGAAGCATCCTAAGGAATCTCAACAGACCTCTACTAAAATGCTTGGAATCCGGGTTACTTTCAATATTAGGGAATAAATTGGAAAGCTACCTTGTGCATGATTTTACCAGACTTTAACATAAAGACATGGAAAGCAGCTCACATAAAAAGTTTTTTGCTCAAGAGTTATTTTAGCACATTTATGGAGGAAATTATGCTTGCTGCAATTTTAGATTCTTTTATTTTGATGGCGCGCTACACTTAGTTGTACCAAAAGAATTAGGATGCACACAGTGAAATGTGCTACATTTAATTTGTGGCAAATAATAAAACGGGAACCATAATCAGCATTTCCTTTTTCCAGCAAAAACATTACACTGAACTTAATTTTACAGCTGTACAAATTGTTTTAAAGTAATCTGCTTGATTGGGCAAGTTAATGATATCTAATTTGACCGGGCCAAACTTTACACGTTATGCATTACTGTGAGCAATTGTGGTCAATACAACTGTTTGCAGAATGCAAATGCAAGGCTAACATCTTCCATTCTCAGCTGGCTTTACAAAAAAACTGGTGTCTTTGTCTCTGTAAGATAAAGCAAAGATGACAGCGTAATAAGTGTTATGTGGTGGAGGTAATTCAGAGGGAATTTAGCCCTTTCAATCGATTCTGCACTCAAGTTAACCCTCTTTATTATTGCCCAGCTTTTTGCTGCAAGCAATACTTGAAGTATGGGCTCAATTCAGTTACTGCACTGAGTGATGGTACTCTGTAAGCTGCCCCACTTCCTTTAGAGGGACCAAACATGGCAGATTGCAGTATGAACTAATGCTATCTGATACACACACAGATAGCAGAATCTGGACATTTATTTTAGTGTTTTAAATCATATTCAAGAAACTAATGTGACATAGTCACCCCATTAGCACATTTCAGCACATTTATGGAAATAATTAAATGACAAGGAAGTAGCCACTATTAATACCTGGCTCTGTATTTATGCCCACTAGTTTTATTCCTTAGAAAAAAATATGCTACTCTTGGACCTGAGAAACCCAGCACTTCCATGCAGAAGGCAGGAGTTTCCACTGTGCAGCCTCCATCTCTGATAGATACAGCAATGCAGTTTATCACGTGAACAGTTTCTGGCTGGAAAGAGAACAATGCAAGACATTATTCATAAAGGTGAGGATTGCCATGATAGGGATCCTCACTCTCACTGCTAGGAGAGCTTTCAAATTCTGAATTGCATTTTGTGTCTGCATGTGAGCCAACACTTGCCTCAGTCCAAAGAACATAACAACAACTATATGATAGTAGCATGGTGCTATGGGATTGTAACGTTATTATTCAGCTTTCACTAAAATTGCTCTGGGCAACTTCTCTTTAATTGTTTCTTTAAATCTGTGTTAAAATGACAACAGTTGGCAGGTTAAAAGATGGTAAAATCCTACTATTTCTCTAGCATAGCTCTTTGTAAATGAGCCCTGAGACCTTCCACATTTTCAGACAAACCACACTCCCAAAGAAATCTCCATTTTAGTGTATGACCATCATGTCTGATCCGAAAAAGTATTTAACATACACAGATATACACTGATACCTAATTCTGTAATAGCAATTTTTGTCCCACTAGTTCAGTAACAAGGTTAAATGATTAAAAAACAAACAAACAAACAAAAGCAGAAAAATTACAGGAGAATCAATAACTTATTCTGTTTGAACGGGGGCTGAGAGATTTCTAATCTTCAAGAAATAAATGAGATGCTGGTTTGTACTTTAGTTCAGAGTGATCCCAGTAAAATCTACTAAAATTAAATTTAAAGACAGAGCACAGGATTTGTAAAGTCATTCCAGTGACAGGTGAAAAAGAGAGATGCATAACATCGCATAAATCATTCCTAGTACTTGCTATATGAGCATTTAGACGGAAACTGAATCTTTTCCATTAACAACCAGCAACAACAAAGCAACCCTCCACTCTTTGACTGTTTCTCACATTGTTTTGCTTTCTTTTCTCCCACAGGTCAATGGGAAGGATTTATCTAAAGCAACGCATGAGCAGGCAGTGGAAGCATTCAAAACAGCCAAGGAGCCCATCGTGGTGCAGGTCCTGAGGAGGACTCCACGCACCAAGATTTTCACTGCTCCTGAGTCTCAGCTGGTGGATGTGGGCACTCAGACAGATATCACTTTTGAACACATCATGGCTCTAAGCAAGATGGGCTCGCCTACCCCACCCGTCTCAGTGCTGGACCCATACCTCCTACCCGAAGAGTAAGTAACTTTCGTGAAGCACTTGAAAATCCTTGCATTCCTTAACATGGCATGTTAGAAGTAGTTCACAAACATACCTTTATTTGCTGGTGATTGTGTGCTCCCAGATATAGACGAGATTCATATAACATTGATTCATAATTCAAAATACTTTCACTTTCTCTACATATTACCAAGCTATTACTCACATGAGTAATGCCACTGAGTCACAACACAGCCTCATAAAGCTCATTTTTTTGGCATTTGATGGATAAAGTTATTGCTTCTTGTAATTCCTCTCATTGCCTCTTTGGGTTGCTTATGTTTTAACTTTATTTTTTATGGCTGCCATAAATTGTATAATGCTAAGAGTCGCTACACTCTGTTCCAGTGTATTAATTACTTTATTATAACCCTGCAGCGATGTTACTCAAATAAATTATTTTCTAGGACTAAAATTACTTACCAGTGCTGTCATGGATGTTTTAGAATCAAATTTTAATTATTGTTAATGGTAGCTTGATGTTTTGTACGTACAAATAAAAATGACAATTATCTCCTGGTGCACACACACCACGCCCTCACATGCTGTTCAAGAGGAAAAGAGCTCCCCAAGGAGTCCATGCAAATTGCCCGTCTTGCCACATACCTCCCCAGTGGAAAAAGTAATTGAAATGTGCTGAATGCCGCAGTTGTTGTGTTGTCTCAGACTGTGATCTGATCAGTCCGCAGCAATACCAGATTCTGAGACAACCCTGCTTGGGGTGAGAAGCTGTGCCAACATGCTCATGTCCTGCCTGTGCAGTATGGCTCTGAACAGGAACTCCATTGAGAGCCTGAGTGGTGAACACAGCTCAGACACACCCAGCACGCCTCTCCGGACAACACTGTCAGCACTCCTAGCAAGTAGAGTTTGACTGCAGATAGGCACCAATCTTGTACAGCTCCAAAGTGACTTGTATGGCATGCTAACATCTACGTGTTCAGCCAGGAACTGGTCTTCTGAGTGCAGTCTATTCCTCTTGTGGCTGTCAGTGCTGATTACGTGAAAGATGGTTCAGTCAAATATTACTGCATTGCTACCTATTGTCATCCATTGAAAATTCAAGCACAGCTGCATGTTTTAGCATAAACGCTTGTCAAAGCTAGACTTGAGCTTGTATGCAGTGAACAGGAAATAGGGATTAGAGCAGAGGTCACATGTTCTTAGGACACCTCTCAAATATTTTTGCAAGAGGGGCTTTCAGTACCTCAGTCAACTACCTGCCACTTTCCAACTGCAAAAGCAAACACAGTAGAAACATGGCAAAGATTAATTCATGGAAATTCCATTGAAATGAGCCTATGTAATGCCAGCTCAGTCCTGCCAAGTAGCCTCATTGCCCCTTGATCATTAGGCACAGGTTCCAACTGCTGGCCTTACTTTGAGCTCTGGATGTTGGTAGCCTGCCTCACTGCTATCCTGCATACAAGAGCAGTCAGACTGCTATTAAACTGTGTTGTTATCCAGTGTGTACAAGCAAAGAGTGACACAAGTTTCTGAGGATGTGCTTTATGCTTCCTTAATACTTCCTGTTATTTTTCCAAATTCCATTCAAATGAACATAGCCTGTGTTTAGTGAATTATGTAACTTAACCAGTTAGCAGATGCTGTTATTTAAATACTATCACACATATAGAGAAACATGTATCTAGTTAAGAGAATTGAAAGTAGAAATAAAATTGCAGCATAAAAAAGAGTGATCACAAAAGAATCATACTGCTTAAACTTGCCATGTAGACAGCAAAGCTGTTGGAGAGCTCAAGATGTAAAAAGCACAATGCCAGTAGTGAATGGCAGTATGAATAGAGTGGTGCATATTTAAATGGCATTTAAATCACTATGCACAGCCTGTTGTATTCAAGTCAATCAACAAAATGCTGTTGATTTAAATCAAAAAGTTGGGTGGCATATTATTTTTAAAATACTTAATATGATTTTCTGTCTTCAAGGCAAAGAAAAACTACCACAGAAGTAGGCAATGATGATTTTATGTACATCTCTGCAAATAACCCGAGCTCATGAATAAATAATCTAGTATTTCTTCCTACTTTGCCACCATTCTCTCTGTATTTTTCTCCAGGTCAGCCTTACATTTGAGGAAAAGTCACTAATCAAATGTTAAGACTCTTTTACAAATCTCTCATTCATCATCAGGTGTCAAATGTTTGATTCATCCTGCAATACATGTAACATACTGTCTAATACATTTATTGGTATAAATGGTATAGTGTATATAATTAACTGTGTGTACCTTCGTGGTGATTGTTAGTTTGTTGTGTTTCATGATGACTTGCTATAAACTTGGAATGCATTGCTGTGCTAACTATAGAACTGAGTGCTATGGTAACAAATATTTTTTTTTTCTCCAGTCATCCATCAGTACATGAATACTATGACCCAAATGACTACATGGGAGGAATCCATCAAGAAATGGACCGAGATGAGTTAGAATTGGAGGTACTTAATGTTTAGTAACCAGTTCATTTACTGAAAGCCTAACATGTGGATGTCCTGGTCTTTATATCCTGTATAAAGTGAAAAGACCATTTCAAAGCAGTTATTTTTAATAACACTGCATCTTGGTTACTTTGCAGGTTGCAAACCTTACTGATACCTTTAGCAATGTGCTTAACAATGTGTCATGGAGTGGTGAGCTAAATCTTCCGCTAATTAACATAAATAATGAATTCCTTAGTTCCATCAGGTAAATTCTCTATAACTGTGCTGATTTAGACTTTCTAGAATCTCAAAGGTTTTTCAGGTTTGCTCAGTGGCAGGACTTATTCCACACAGTCACTGTAAAAAAACACGTGTTTCCCTTAAATGTTTCCCAGCTGAGAAACAGACATTCTCAATCATATTACTTAGAAATATTTTATGTTTACAAGAAAAGATTAGAACAGTTCTGACACTATACTAAGCTATTCTCTCCTTTTTCATTACTACAGTTACATGAGGATACATACAAAATTATAGGTCAGTCATGAAGATGTGCAAGTTCATTTGCCTGCCACATCTATAAAATTCATGTGTGGTTTTCATATTTGCATGTCCCATTGGAAGATTTTTTTCAGTTTTCTCATTCTTAGTCTTATAACCCATTCCCAGCCACTCAGAGTACAAAATAAAGGTTGTAGGCCCTACTTCTGCATCTACTTAAACAGTACTGAAATGCTTTTCATAATTTATAATAAATAGCAGCAAAGTACCTCAGTACTTCTAAGTACTTCCAGTGATATTTGATCCAGAAAATACGTTCATGATTAACAGTAAGTGACTAGATCACAGATGACTCCTAGCTTGCTCGCACATCTGATTTCTTAGATCTTGGTCCTGCTATAGAAGCTGTCAAAGCATGTGATGGCAGTCTATCTATAGTCCTGTTTAAACCAGTGACAGATTTATCAACAGCTTCAACAGGAGCAAAGTTCAGTCATTCTATGAGCATAAAGTTGTTCCCCTCTATAAAAGTGTTTGCAGAATCAAGGCCTCAATCCCCATAAAAAGTTTGCAAGCTGTCTTCAAATTTTGCAGATTTGATAGTAATTCATCTCTGTATACAAACCCAAATAGAAGTCAGGATAAAATCAGAATGTCAGCAGAACAAACCCTGTTTAGCAGACTTCAAGGCCTTTTTTTAAAAGAAATGCCTTTTTATTTTTTTCTTAAATAAAAAGGAACAAATCCAGTCTTAAAGGAAAACATAGAACAGATTAGTATTTTCTGCTAGTGTCTTTTCAAAATCTATCTTTTAGGTAATCTAATATTGTAGATAAATCATACTGCTTCCATTAGAAGGTCAACCAGTTGAGCTGAAAACAGTTTAAACACATGCACTTCAGTAGCCAGACATTAATATGGCTTAAACCACAACATTAATAATTTTGACATTGATATAGTACTTGATGGTAAAAGGTGATCAGCTCAGTAGCACAGGGGGATGAACGTTAGAAAAGTCTCTGTAGCCTAACAGTATTTCTTAAAAACCACTAAAGATTCCTGTTCAAATTGTAGTGACTATGATCAATGGTAAGGTCAAAGTGCTAACAGGGACTCAACTGGCTAGTTGCTTTTTTGTTTGCCTTTTGATAGATATGTTTTAAAGGACCACAAAGGCACTGTTTCATTGACTGCAGCAAGAATGCCTAAAGTAAGAAAGCCATCAAGTCAGCCCTATGGGTTTCTGTGCCCATAAAACGTGCTTTGAATTTAAATCAGCAGCTCCTCATCCAAACTTTTATGGTCTACAACTGAGTGGTTAGTGATTTGTACCAAGTAAACAAAACACAGAACAGTGAAATACTGAGTTCACAACAAGCTTCTAATGTAAATAACTCTCAGGAAGGAATTTATGCTGGCAGTATTGCCAAGACACCAAAATTGTGTTCTCAGTTCTCTCTCTCAATATGTATCTAAAAATTGAGGATTTGGAGGTAACTGCCATATATTTCCTACTACTAAAATAAGCAAATATTATTTCCTTTCTCTTTAAGTTTACATGCCACCAGGAAAGGAGGACTAAATCTTGAATTCTATTCTATTTCTGGATTCAATTGCAAATTAAAGTACATTCATTTTTCACAGAGGCGCGCATCCAGAAGTCACTTTGGGTTCATAAAGGAAGAATAATGCCACTGCAGGCTTCCCCAGCAGCATTATGCATTAATATGTTTATTCAAACAACCATGCAGCCTAAGTGAGGGCTTTCTCAGTGAGCTAATTTTCTCAGAAATTACAAAGGAGAACATTCTAAATCTAAAAGGACACTTGTTCTCTCACATCTGACTTTGTCCTTTTCTCCCCTCCTGTATCCAACTTTGTGTTTTTTCTGAGCAGAGAACTGAGCTCATCAGAGCTGACAGCACAGCTTGGAGATGAAAGGCAACATGAAACATTTGCTAGCATCTAGAAAATCTCCTTTCTCATGCTCTCACTCCATCTTCAACATACATGAACTCTTCATTTAAAAAGCTGAAGTTGCTTTTTTAGATGGCTCTTTGCCACTGACCTCATGCCTATTCCAAACAGCTGCGACCACTCTCCACCCACTGCAGTCACAGCCCTGATGCCAGGAGCACAGAAATGTGCTCTCACACCTTAGCAATGACTGGGCTGAAAAGTTGGCCCTGCTCAGCAGGTATCTCAGAAGTAAGCTCAAGAAAAGAAAAAAAAAGAACCACTTTTTACAGAGAGAGACAAAGGACAGAGTACTTACTGTGCAAACTTTGGACAATACTTTCTGAACGTTTGCACTGTTTTCTTTTTTTTACCCATTACTTCCCACTCCTTCCAATTTTCTACTTCGTTCATTTTTTTCTTGTTAGAGAAAGGACTTGGATCTTTGTAAATACACAAGCATGCCATAATTTTAAATCACCAGTACAATAATCCAATAATCTGTTGCATATGAAGGCTCTCTTGAGTTTACAGAGGTTAGTTTACTATTACTACTTACTCCTAATCTATTATTATGGGCAGTTGCAGGTATAATACCATAGCGCACATCTATTTCCTTCTGCCTTCTCCAAATGCCATGTGGATTTAAGCAGCAAGCGCTTTGAGCCCTCCTTGGCCCTGCATTTCACATGGAGCTGGTAATCTTTCAAACAAATCTCCTGTGCAAGCTTATTTTTCTCAAACATCTCTCAAAATCTCACTTTAACCTGGCATAAAGAAGCAAAAGATTGAAAGTATTTGTGTAAAACTTACATCATATGTGAGATTTTCACAATTATCATTTTAACACATCCCTTGATACTTACACATTTTGTCCATACCAGCATAGTCTGCTAACTAATTTGTGCAGATCTAGACCAGGTGCTGGGACACTTCAGTGTCCCCCTTCCTCATTGTAGGTGGCTGATACATTTCATACAGCATTCATTACAACAGAATCTGAGCCCTGGCTAAGCACTAAATATTCTTTCATCTCCTGCCTGTGCAGCATGCCTGCGCAAACTGAATGAGCAGGTGCCTAGCAGGGCTTTGGAAGCAGGCCAGGCACTGCTGTGCATGCAGTGGCTGCTTCTGCAGCAGCAGCACACAGCACTGCAGGCTCACACACTTGGGCCCTTGGGCTGTCCAGCAGGGCAGCGCAGCAGAGAGAGGAGTAAGACACGGCAAGTCCAATGTCATTGTCCAGACTTAAACCTTCAAAGTTCTTTAGGTCCACGTTAATTCCCAGAGCTTAATTAATTCCTAGTACAATTACTCAAGCTACCACAATATGTGTACTTGCAGGTGCCAATTTTCTGTTCTGTTTTTCCTTTTCATGTATCTGTACGTTCTACAGATTCCACCCCAAACAAGGGAAATAACCTTTGCTTGCAAGATGCTGGAGTTGATTCTTCAACTCCAAGTGGAATTTGCATACTTTCATCTCTCAAAAATTTCAAACCTTTATGATTATATTAAAACTTTATTGATACAAAGACCCATAGACAGCAGCTGTTCCTACCACTAAGTACACAAAATTATCTTATTTGGGTAGCATCAAACCAAGTTATTCCATTCCTGCCAAGGACTAGAGGGATTGTACCCGAGGGTAAGAATGTCAACAAATTACTCATGAAAATGGAGGTTCTAAACACCTGCTCTAAGAGTATTCTGTTTGCTTTAGCTTTTGGGTGCTTTATTTGTGAGCTTGTTTTTAAAGCATACATGTCTGTTCTCTTTTTAAAATATATACTATTTAATATACTAGATCATTTATTACCTTCCAGTGTATTAAAGATGTCAGAGAAAGTTTACTTTAAATATAGACTCTTACTTATTTTTTTAATTATCACAGTACTCTCCATACTTGTGTACTGCTGGAAAAACAGTATTGTTATTAAAACATGTTGAAGGGAAGAAGGAAGAACAAAGCTACTACCTTGCTGCCTGCACTTCAAGAAGTGTTCATGCTTACACAGGATCTGTTTCAAATATGACCAAAACTGTCATACATGTATATTTTTATTTATTTTTTTTTTAACACAGTATATATGTTTTCAGTACCAGCATAACAAACAGCAGTGAGCTTAGCACTAATTTCTCAGTTATTTCATTTTCAAACAAGTAAACTGTATGAAAACTTCCCTCAAAACATGAAGTCTTTTTGCTAAAGCAGGCAGGAAATATGCCTGAATTATGTCAATTCGACACATTCTCACCTCATCTCTAGATCACAGCCTGATTGCATCCAGAATAAATGAGTTAGCTGCAGTGGTACTTCCAAGGATTAATCACATCAACTAAGACTAGAATCAGGTCTACTTTGTCTCACTTCTACTACTGAAAAATTTTTACCTCCTCTCTAGAAATCCCCCAAAGCTTTAGAAATCCTAAAAAACAAAACAAAACAAAACAAAACACTATTAAAGCATTGTGTTCATCCAGTGTGTAACAAAAGAGAGTGAAAAAGAGAAAAAGAGCAGCAGCTCACCATGGATACTATTGATTGAAACCATTTAAATACCATCTGAAATGTCACTGACATTTACAGCAATGCTTCTTGAAAAAAAAGAAATTACACATGTTGACAAGTAAATAACATGAGATTGCTGATCTTGGCAGCTGTCATCTTGACATGCCAATAAATTATTCATATCAGCTTGTTTTATTATCTTGCCCTTACAAATGGCACAGCACAGGTCAAAACAGAAGAGACACTCAGAAATAATGAATCCTGTTAGCAGGACTTTTCACAGGAACACAAGGTTCAAGCTGGATGCATCCTGAGCATAGCTAGGTCTGCCCTTGGCAGGGACAGCCCTCAGCTCACACAGGGGCTGTTCCCCCTTCTTTGCACAGGTCCCTTTGCCTTATCTGCCTGGCCCCACTCCATCCCTTCACTGCAATAGGGCTGAAGCCCCATAGCCAGGTTTAAGCTGCAGAGAAGAAAAGCCCTTTTCAAAGCCTTGCTCTCCACAGAGTAGAGTAAAAAAAAACACTTGTTACTCCTTCTCTAGCTAGTGCAAGCCAGCCTTCCTCCCTGTGGAAGAGACAATGCAGCAGTCACAATAAGATGGTTAAGTTTGTTAGGATCCCTTGGGCTCTTGGGACTTCCTTCAGAAAGGAGGAGAACAGAGATGTTTACATAGACTACACAGCAGCCAGGAGCATCCCACAGCTTAGTGAATATCTTGCAACACTTTTATACAAACCAGGAGCAAACATAGAAGAAAACAACCCAGATGAAGTCCTTGTGGGAAAAAGTCCTGCGGAAAACCATGTATTTTTAAGATGGCTTAAATGTCTCCAAGACCAACATGACCACTGCAGAGCCCTGGAATGGTAAAAGCACAACCTACTCACATGACACCTTTGCAAGATATTGAAGCACTTAGTGTATTTCTCTTATCAGTACCAAATGCTTTGATAACCATATGTTGTTCTTCAATCACACATATGAGAAACTTATTACATCATTTCATAAAAATTATACAAGTTAAGGTAATAGAATATTATCTTTTTTCCTCTGAAGAGACAGAAAAAAATCCCTGCTTATAAGAAAATATGTAGATCAGTTGTGGAAAATATTGAAATAATACTTCATAAGCATTTTAGTATTTCAAGTCTTACCTGTGCATGAAATATAGGTGTTTTTTTTTTTTTTTCTCTAAGATCAATAAAAGGTCTATTTTAAAAATGACAGTGTATTGACTGAAGGGCCAAAAATGCCTGAAGTATTGATTGTATGCATATAATCACCTTTTGCTCAGTAAGTTAAGCTAGTCTATACAGTAAAATGAGAAGAGATCCACTGTATCACTTAAGCAAAATATTTTCATTGCATTTGAAAAATAGCTTCCATCTCTCACAAGTATCTCACTGTCTTTTCTTTCTTTTCTTTTCTTTTTTTAACCTCAGGAAGTAGATTTGCACCGAGTGAACAGCCAGGACAAGCTCGGTCTTACAGTGTGTTACAGAACGGATGATGAGGATGACACTGGTATTTATGTGAGCGAGGTACGATTGGGCTGATTCCCCTAAGATAAAATTTGTCTTTTAAACTGCAGTGCTAGATATTTAAGACAACTCCTTACTTCTATTTGTAGCATGTTCAAACAACAGCTAGAAAGTAATAATTGGAAGAAATCTAATTATTTTTCCTTTTCTTCAAACCGAGTGAAATCCTGTTCCATTGAAGTCCAACTCCTACTGACTTCAGTGAGAAATCTTTAGAAATACAGTGGAAAAAAAACAAACACACAGCCTTCAGAAGGCTCTTTATTCACTTGGAAAGCAATGTTAAATTGACAGTTTCTCCAGTATTGAACATTATTAACTACCCCAGAACAAGTGTTTGCCTTTGTTATTTGTATGCATGTTCCTTGTTCTGAAGCCTAGAGAAGAGAGCTGTGATGTTACCTATTTCAGTCTGTACAAACACCAAATGTGTGTTGTACTTGAGACTTAACTCATTAAAAATACCTGTTTTACCTGTAGAAACATTTCACATTAAACACTTCTTCTTTTCCATTGCATCACAGAAATACATGGATTTTGCAATGTCTGATTATCTCTTATAATTTATAAGACCCCTTTTTGCGTGGCTAACAGCTTTTGTTATATTGACGTTTAGTATTCATTTTTCCCTAACATATTCTCAACATTCAATTTCAGATGATGTTTTCAGAGGATTTGTAATACATTCTGTCTTCCATTTTTGTTCTCAATTATTCCAGAAATAGTATAAATGAAGAAAAAGAAATCTACATGTTTATTTGCAAAGATCTGGGGCTCATTTGTCTCTCCTTGCTTACTTTCATAAAATAAGTAGCATTTTATAGAATCTTTTTATCACACGGATCAGTGTGCAGTTTGGGAAGGAAAAATCAACTAAATCTAAACTGTTCCTTTAGAGTGCATCACTTAGGTTATAATCCTTCCTGCTCTGTAGGCAAAATCTGTAGGTTCTAATTAGAGTACTGTGCTGTAAAGCAAAACGCTAAATTATGAGGTATAACTAAATATCATGCAAACATGATAAACCTACAGACCCTGAAGACATATCTCAGGAAGTAGTGTTTTGGTTTTGACTTTGGCATATTAACCTGCATTTCATTTTGTCTTCCATAAGCAAGGAAAAGTCCTGTAATCACTAACAAGACGTAACAACTATGTAGCAGCAATGACAGGCACAGTGGCTTACCACATGAGTCGTATTACTGATGCTGGGGTTACACTGGGAAGGAAGAGGCTGAGGCCTAAAATCTCCAAAATGCTTACAGTTCTCTTATTTTGTAGATCGATCCCAACAGTATTGCTGCAAAAGATGGTCGACTCCGAGAGGGGGATCGCATTATTCAAGTATGTGTGTATAGGTTGAAGGCTTGGTAACGCACTATAACCTGCAACCATTTTAATTCTATATCTTCATTTCAGTGTCATTTTTACAAATTACTCCTTTAAAATGGTATTTGTAGAATGGTTTGGATTGGAACGAACCTTAAAGATCATCTAGTTCCAGTCCCCCTACCATAGACAGAGACAGTTTCCACTAGACCAGGTTGCTCATAAAGTTCCTTTCAACATTCCGATAGTCCCTTTTAACTTTCTGAAGACAACTGAATTTCCTCTGCTACGTATCAGTGAAATTTTGATATTCCTGGCTAAGTAAAGCTGTATACTAGCCTGGTCTGCAGGCTGAGAATTTTGTCAGTAGATTCCACCTGTTTCCAGCACATATTCTGATACACCTTGAACTTTTCCTTCTACCACAAAAAAATCCATTCTGACCCCGTTTGCAGAATCTCAGTGGACAGCCTCATTAACAGGGTGTCTAACACTGCATGCTGAAACCCACTTCTGCATGCCAGAAGGAGCAGCAGTGCAGTCTCACACCATAGCGATTTTGATGGAAATGGTCTATCTCCTACACAGAGACTAAAGCATGTAGACATCCACATCTCATGTAGTCTCTGGGGATGGTGTTCATAGCTTCACCTGTCCCATATGAGGACATTCCTTTCCACCCACATGAGCTGACTTTGCTCACTGTTTAGTTTCTGTTCTCATAACAAGCTCTGTGCATCACCTGCACAGCTTTGAAACAGCTTCATGCATCCATTGCCTGACAATTACCTAAACAACATGGCTGTTGATTCAAGCTCTCTGGCTTGTACAGCACTGGGATCTATCCAGCCATGCAGCCCTCTAGAGCTGGCCATGGCAGTATTTAAATATCTGTGTGAAAGGATGTCGATCTGTTGCTCTTTCCTTTAAAGATCAATGGCATAGAGGTACAGAACCGAGAAGAAGCCGTAGCACTTCTCAGCAGTGAAGAGAGCAAGAATATCTCCTTACTTGTTGCAAGACCAGAAATTCAGGTACTGTAGTAATAAGTAAAGTCTTAATTAAAAGACTTGCTGTTTTGCAGAAAATATTTACCATTGAAGAATTTTAACTGAAATAAATCTACCAAATCTATCTAAAACCGTATTAAATTGTTTGACTGGACATACATGTGGTATAAAATAATAGAACACAGTAGTCATTATACTTACAGATATGTATTATATTACAGTTCAAAGTATAAGAATTTCAGTGATTTATGTATGCTGCAGTGTATGTTACAACTATCAGTGCAAGATACTTTGGATGATTTCAAGCTGTGGCTTTGAAGACCAAATACTGAATTCTAAATCCTACAGCTATTGATAAATCATTCATTAAAACATCTATTATTTATCCCTTCATAATATCATCTCTTAATGTAGTTAAATACTGTCAAGAAGCATCCTCAGCTTAATAAAAGGTTGTACCAGGTTCCTGCATGGAATGGGGATTAGCACAACAAAGATGCTGAACAAACAGCACTGTTGTTTGATCTGTCTCTTGCTCCGCGTGCTCGGAAAGCAACCCTCGCCAAAGCAGAAACAAGGGGTCATGCTCATGACTATCTTGTTAGCCTATATGTATCTGAGCTCTCTCCCTTGGGGTTGACAGGTTGGGAGTAAAAAAGACTCACATATCCAGTGCAAGCATTTTTGCTCCTGGCCCTTTGTGCTGCCTCCCAAGTGGTGTATTTAAGCCTTGCACCCTGGAGTATTTTATACATCCTAATCAAATGACATGCAAACCAGAACAGCCCTGATGCTAAGAAGCATTTCCATGGATGAAAAGACTGTATTGGTTTCATGCAAAGGGCTGCTGACGATAAAGCCATGCTGTTGAAGTTTGAGGTGGGGGAAGATAAAAGAGTCAGTGCCCACACTCAGTAGATGTGTGCATCCTCACAGGACATAGCAGCACTGTCACAGGAAGGAATCTCTTAAAATTTCCCAATCACCTTCCACAAAGAAGGAACCTAATTTACAAGTTTTCATTCTTTTGACATTTGGTTTGTTTTGTTTTTTTTTCCTTCTTTCTCACATAGCTGGATGAAGGATGGATGGACGATGACAGAAATGATTTTCTGGATGACTTGCACATGGACATGTTAGAGGAGCAGCACCACCAGGCAATGCAATTTACTGCCAGCATGCTTCAGCAGGTACTGCTGTTCTGTTGTGCAATGGTGTCAAAGCTTCACATTGTACTCAATATTCTGATATTGAACTTGACCGAATACGTTTAGCGTCTCAAATGACAATCAAAGCAAAAAGACTTACTGCAAAATCTATCTACAAACAACTTATTGGGGACTAAATTATTTTTAAATGTTACCTTTTTCATTTTTTCCATCATGACAACATGATCTTCTCAGAAATGCACCATTCTGGCTGTGATCAGTGACAAAAGAAGCTAAGTAGAAGCTAAGTATAGTGTAAGTAAAGGAGGCAGAACTACTGCTCTCTGTATAAAATACCCTGTTTGACATACACACACATATCAAAAACTGCCTGTCTCCCAAAGCCATAAAATACAAATGGGGAACTGAGGCAAATGACTGAAGTGTGTATATTTGACAAGAAAGGCAAAGAAAATGCTTCTGCAAAGCAAATTTATGCAGAGAGACAGATTTGGACTTGGGTTTCCTGTTATCCTGCCACAATCAACGTAATTATACAAGTTCATGAATAGTTTCTCATTTTTTGTCTGGAGTTTTTTAAAACTCTGCATCCTTTGTGGGAGCCATATTTTTGGAAGAGTGATATTCTCATTTTGGCACCACAGTAGAACTGGATAATTTTGTGCAGCTAAATGCCAAAAGAAACGCATTGAAATTTTGCATTCTAGTGTTATTCCTATCTAACGGTAATCAGACCAAGTTCTTCTGAAAAGATCATCCAAATCAAGGTGTGTTTTCAGTCACCATGCTTTCTTTCCATACAAGTAAAAATCAAAATGCACCAAATGTAACAGGTAGCAATTAAGAAAACTATTTCATAATAGACACCTTGAAATATTTTGTCCTTGCAGTAATTTCTCTTTGTCTTTTGATTTTTACTGTTAGAAGAAGCACGAGGAAGATGGTGGTACCACTGACACAGCCACTATTTTATCTAACCAGCACGAGAAGGACAGTGGCGTAGGGCGCACAGACGACAGCACTCGGAACGATGAGAGCTCTGAGCAAGAAAACAATGCAGATGATCACACCACTTCCTCTAACACTTTAGGGAGCCAGAAGAAGCTGACATACAGTCATGACACCCTTGGAAGTGGCGATATGCAGTTCAGCAACGAGTCATTTATCTCAGCCGACTGCACAGATGTCGACTTCCTTGGCATCCCTGTAGATGAATGTGAGCGATTCCGGGAACTGCTGGAACTCAAATGTCAGGTGAAGTCTGCCAACCCTTACAGCCTGTATTACCATACCAGCACTCTGGATATGAGCAAAAGTGACCAAGAAAGTGTTGACAAAGAGCTGGAGATGCTGAATGAGGAGCTGCGCAATATTGAGCTAGAGTGCCTGAACATTGTGAGAGCTCATAAAATGCAGCAGCTGAAGGATCAGTACCGAGAGCCCTGGATGCTGCATAACAGTGGATTCCGCAACTACAACACAAGCATCGATGTTCGCAGGCATGAGCTCTCAGACATTACAGAGCTCCCAGAGAAGTCTGACAAGGATAGCTCGAGTGCATACAATACGGGTGAAAGCTGCCGAAGCACTCCGCTCACACTCGAGATTTCTCCTGACAACTCCTTGCGTAGAACTGCAGAAGGCATCAACTGTCAAGGTAATGAGGGAGCAGTGGCATATAATGTCTCCCAAAAGAATTTATTTGCTGGCTCAGAAAGTCATGAATCCAGCACTGGTAAATGCCATTCAGCTGCAAAAGATCCTGACACTAGCAAACAGATGGAATGCAAGGAGAGAAAAGCCAGTGATGGAAGCAAAAGCCCTACTCAAGGTCAAAAATCTTCTGGCTCCTATGTCTCCCCATACCACCACTCTCCATATAAGCATGCTCATATTCCTGCTCATGCACAGCACTATCAGAGCTACATGCAGCTGATCCAACAGAAATCAGCAGTGGAATATGCACAGAGCCAAATGAGTCTGGTGAGTATGTGCAAAGACTTTAGTGCAAGCCAGAATGAGCCGAGGATGGAGTGGAAAGTGAAGGTCAGAAGCGATGGAACCCGCTACATCACCAAGAGACCAGTCAGGGACAGGTTGCTGAGAGAACGAGCCATAAAGATTAAGGAAGAGCGCAGTGGGATGACTACTGATGATGATGCCATAAGTGAAATGAAGATGGGCCGCTACTGGAGTAAGGAAGAGCGGAAGCAGCATTTAGTGAAAGCAAAGGAGCAGAGGAAGAGACGTGAGTTTATGATGCAGAGCAGGCTGGATTGTTTAAAGGAACAGCAAGGTGCAGAAGAAAAGAAAGAGATGAATATCATTGAACTGAGCCACAAAAAAATGATGAAGAAAAGAAATAAAAAAATATTTGACAACTGGATGACAATCCAGGAACTGCTTACCCATGGAACAAAGTCACCAGATGGAACACGAGTGTACAATTCCTTCCTGTCAGTGACTACTGTATAATCATCATTGCTAAATTATGTACATAAAACACTACCATTGGGGTAGAAATCAATGCCTCGTTCAATGTGGCAAGATTTTTGTATATAAGATACAGTCATCAAGTTTATAGTTCAAATACTGAACTCTACGACTGTGGGTGCCAGAATCTCCATTACAAAGTGGAGAGAAAGTTTGCCCACCCCAGCTCCTCCAGAGGCAATATTAGCAGTGCTTTTTGGGATACTGATTGTACTTTTTTACTTGTTACCTTTTACATAAAGTGTTTAAATACCAGAAATGTAGTAACCATACTTACACAGGTAATTTGCTTAAACTATATTCATATAAAAAGGTACCCATGCTCTTCTTTGTCTAAAAAGATGCAAAACCCCACAAGAGCGACTGCACATAGGTATTTTTTGTGAAATCATATTTTCTGATACTATTCTGCTGTTGGTCATTTCTACACTGAGTGCTGTTTATCTATATTTAGCTCAAGGTTTAAACTCAGAATTATTGAATTCCTAATAGAGCCATTCTCTTGTAATATTTAACATTTATCAAACAGCAGTTTTTATAGTTACCATCAACACTTAAACATTTTTCTTTCTAAGGTTTCTAAAAAAAGTATATAGGTTTCATCTGAAAAGCCTGAAGCAAAGAGAAGTATACTGCAGCTTTAAAGATTTTAAAGCATGTTTGCAAACGTTGCAACCTCTTGAAAAAAATGTGCATGTACAGCTGATTTGTTTATATAAGACAGTTTGTGGAATTTGAAAAGCCCATGGTAGTTACCGTTTGCTTTATAGATTTGAACGTATTGAATTATAAAAGCTGTTTCATTAAATCATCACTAGCTGCAAATGTTAACAACTAAAATGAAGTAAAATAAATTATTGTTTTATATTTCAAATGATTTTAAATTTTTTTGACTCCTTTACGGTTGCGCCATGCTGAGTGTTCTTCCCTACAGCATAGCTCCCATGTCTGGGCTGCCGGAGTCAAGCCTAACAGGAAGGACTGGATCCTGACCTGGTGGAGATCCAGCACTGAGGTTTTCTTAAGGGGGAGGGAAGAGGCAAGAGAGAAGTAGCAGGAACATGAAGAGTAAAATCAAACAGTGCAGATGTTCTCCTCACAAGGCATTTAGGATGACCTGTAAGCATGAAAAAAATAGGACTTCCACTCTTCTGTTTTGTTTCATGGTATCTTAATGGTATATGAAACTGACCTACAAACTCCATGCAAAGGTTTGCATTAAAAATAGACAAATTTATAAATTAAAAGAAATGGAGAAAAGGACAAAAAATGAATTTCAAAGAGATATTTCCCTCCTTTTCTTGTTTTCTGTTTCTAAATAAGAATTCAGATATAAACTTGATTTTTATTTTTATTTTTTTCTGGATAAATAGCAAACTAGACTCATTATTAATAGCTCCTAAATTCTTCACCCTCTCTGCCTTTTTGCTTTCTTCCACTAAAATATTCTCCTCCAAACTCTTAATCAATTTCTGTTCTGAACTCTTCCGTTGTAACTATTCAGAGCCACACTTATAACCTGAATGATAACAGGCAAAAGTTGGAACGAAAAAGATTAACAGCTTCTCAGTACCCATTTTGTCTGCTATCAAGAAACAAACAACAAATTTGGGGCTTTTTTCCCCATTCCTTCTGTGGGTTAGCATAGAATTGGCATTGACTATATGCCTACCATATTCCACGCTAAGCTATTTTAAATACTAGAAAATACATCTTAAGCTAATGTAAATTGTCACTGCCCCTTGAAATCCAACACTGCTAATAATCCTCTGTAAATATATCTTGAAATGATACTTTCCTTTGGGATGAAGTACTGCTGCTGCTGTAGGCTATAGAAGATTTTTCTATTGACTTTGTTAGAGCCAGGATTTCACTTGACTTACTAAAAGCTGGTTGCTGTCACAAGTGGCACAGTAGGAAAAACATAATTGTGAGTTTCACAACACAATCATATATGATCCTTCCTGTCTCTGTCTCACATCCTCTTTACTCTGATTTTGTGTTCAGTTCATCTTAATTGCAGGTGAGAGTGCCATAGCAGAATAAAGTTCAGATATTCAGATGGACAGGCAGAGCTATAATTACTGTGGAATCACAGTCCTTAAAATCAGGTATGGCAAAGCACTTAAGCTGTCTTTATTCTACTTGTAAATTCTAGAGTAGAATTTGAAACACTCTAATGAGGTAAAATTATCATCAAACTGTGATGGCTTCTTTGGAAAAACTTAATAGGTAACAGTTCCTTTAGGCGCCAGTTACATGAATGCTGAGCATATATGCATGTATGTAACAGCAGAAATATATTTGAGAATTCAAATGTGATGTGTAGAAATTATACCAGAGCATAAAATCTGCATTCTTTAGGATGCTGAAATAAAGTTATTGGCCAAGAATTACTCAGATACCGTTGAGATTTTCCTCACTAACCATTTCTCATTTTGGTCACTCAAAAATCAACTGCCTGCTTTAGTATTACAATTTATTAACTAACAGAGTTTCACAGAAACTGACAGTTATCCTGAACATCTGGGCAGAAGTTAAGCAAACTGCAGGTTTAGCTTTCCCTTGTTCCATGGGCTACCTTGCCACACTCCCTTTTTTCAGTGCCTTACCAAAGTACTTCATATGGTACAAGAAAGGGAGGCTTCGGTTCTTTTTATTGCTTCCAAGGAAATGCTCGAAATTATCAAAATATTAGTGCAACCTGACCTTATTACAGCAAAAAGAATCATACTAGGAAGTCTTTGATGTCTAAATGGAATTATTTCAAATGGTTTTTCTAAAAAACAATTGTAGTACATTACTGTAGTGTTTAAAAGTTAACAATAGAAATTGCTGATGCTGTCACAGACCTGACACCTCTGTCCCCACCCCATGCTAACAAATACCAGCAAACCAAACATTTGAATATAGGTTGGCCTGATTCTTCACAATAAAAATAGGCTCTGTGTCAAACTCAGGTCAGTTTCCCTAAATTGCAGAATGCTCTCAGATGTAAGATCTATAAAAATGTAAAATACTTATTTGCAAATAGGTTTAAAATCAGCATGGAATCAACCAGTGTAGATGTGCACTGAAATGGGAAAGCCCTGAACCAAACCTAACAGCGTTTTTTTGTAAATTAAGCGAATTTGCACATTAGAGATGGCAAATAAAATGAGGTAAGACTACATATTGCCTAGGGACTACTGGTTGGAGAACTAATTAGGATTATAAACAGAAAGTATGTAAATTAACCAAATATAATTATCTACTAGTGGCCTTTGAAAATAGGTTACAGGATACTTGCTAACAAAATTGCTCAAATGCCTGGAAGCCTTACAAAGCAAGCCATAAGCAATTTAAGCTCCTATTTTTGTTTTATTTTCAATTATTCTTAAAGCAGTTGTAGTACAAAGGATTTACTGGAACATAAACTAATTAGAGAGAAGTCAAAAATCAAGATAGAAACTGTCACAGCAGATGCTATACCTCCATCCCAAGGAACAGAGAGGTGCATTTAATAAAACCAAGAGGCCTCTGGTTTTATCAAAAGTAAATTTGTTATTGAAAGAAAATAGCAAAGATTCTGCTTGCGTTTTCATCCCAGCAGCTTCATTTCTCCATCAGAGCAGCTTCTGTGAGCTCCAGCTAGAGTTAGTCTAGAAGAGTGGTGTCTCTCTTGCCAAAGCACAGCTTCTCAGCAGTACAAGTTTTAAATGAAGATGTGATGTTCACTGTTCAAATGCAAACATGCAGAATTAATGCCGCTTTTCTCTAAGTGTCTGTCATGACAAAAAGCTATATGAGATTCAGGGGCTTCTATTGAGAAAGCTGCTTATTTCCCATGCATATCATTGGAGACAGAAGACTGACCACTGCAGACTGATAACACTTGATAGTCAAGATAGTGGTACACATTTTACATAAAATATAATGAGGGTCACATATAAAGGTTAGGCAGGCTGATTTCGCATTTGAGTTTTAATATACAGGCCAAACCCAAAGCTCACTTATGTGATCTGAAAGACTCGAAGCCCGCTCACATGATTTGAAAGACTCCACATAACCTCAGAGGATTAGAAGAGGATCCTGAAGGTAGGACAAGCACTGCTATAAGAAAAGGAGGTTTCTGCCTTCAGTTGGACTGCAAAACACTCAGCATCTGGATTCTGCCACTGGCCAGACTGAGGACAAGCACAAGAGGTGCCCCACAGGCATCAAGTTTGATTCAGCTGTCCCCTGAGTAGCACAAGCTTGTACACACACACACAGAGTTCCAGGCTGCAGGGGGATGACCCCGTCCTTGTTGGCAATTAACCAACATAGTTATTCTAAACTTCACTAGTGAAGGATACAAAGAGAAACACCATCACGGAATGTTTTTAGAGGAGATTTAATAAAATCAATTAATAATAAAAACAACAACCTGGTAATAATGCTCCAGTTAGTGTTTTAAATTTACAGAAATACAATACTGATATTACAACAATCAGTATAGCTCCACTGAAATCAAAGCCCATGTAAAAACCTGGCCCAATATTCTTACTTTTTCCATGCGTACAAAATCAGAATAATTTTTAGAAGATAACTAAACTTCTCCAATATCTCTCCCAACACCTATATTTACACATGAAAAGCCAAGCTGAAGTAAGCCCAGATAGCCCATACTTATTTCTCCCTGCAGATGATGTTGGTCATACACTTCTCACATCCTACTTCCATCTCTTCCCTTTCTGGAGAAATGAGTCACCTGAGTCAAAAGGAGACCAGAAAGAATAACCACTGCAGATTTTCAGTTGGATTTCAGCCCAGTTAAGACTAGAGTTCACTTACATATACACACCATTACATACAGAAAGCTCACACACACAAAAAAGCCAAATTTGGTTCTGCTTGTATGTTTTGAATTTGTGTTTAGTTGTTTAGTTCTTAAGGACTAAAAAGGTCCACATGTCATACACTCAGCATATATTTCATGTGAAATTAAGAAATTGCTTTTTTGGATCTAAAAAAATCCTCAAAGGAAGTTTTTTCATTTCCATAGCTTTAAGGATCAAATTGAATCATAGAATAGCTCAGGTTGGAAAAGACCTTAAATATCATCAAGTCCAATATGGCTTGCTCTGAAATCCAGGTAGGAGATTCTGTTGTAAAATGCAACCCTAAAGGACAGTACATGCCCAGAAACAAAAGTTCAAAATCAAAATGCTGACAAATTCTAATCAGCAGAAGTGCAAAGGGGCATGATAGTTTGGGTGGCTGGGTTGTGGGCCACTCATTTTGGCCAGGAGAGCACTTGGTCTGTCTTTTCAGATAAGTTTGCCAGGGAGGAGCTTTAAAAGTAATTTCTTTGACAATCCATCCTTTTTATGTTAGGCAACTGCAGGACCATGCAACAGGGAGCCCCATTAACTGAGAATAAGAACTTCTCTGTAGAAGTGAACTTTCAGTGACCTTCTCTCAAAGAAAATACTTTATCATATTGGAGTGTGGGCCTCCCAGGTGTCACAGCAAGGCTCACACCAAGTGGATTCCATTGTCCCCATTAGGAGAGCTAGCTTTGATTTTCAATAATCCATCCTTCAGCTTAGCTGGTCTTTGTTGGCTTAGAACGCCATAAACAAAGACTCCCCAAAAGGCAAATCCAACAATAATTGTTTAATAAAAGTAAATCAAAAGCCTTCAAATTGAAGGGAGCAAAGTTTTGTCAAATTTTTTCTTAGCTCCGGTTAAATGTAAGTATCCAGCATTCACTAGCCATTGGGGCTTGAGATAGCAGCCAAAATAAAAATAGTAAGGTCACATCTAAATAATTTGTACAACAAGAAATACTCAGTTTTGCCATGAACTTCAGCAAGCTCAGGTGCCAAATGCAGCAAAAGGCAAAGCCAATTTTCTAGAAAAAGCTTCTCTGCTCTAATGCATTTGAAATCTTATTCAAAGGAACTCCAAGGCTTTTCTCTCCACAAATGGAACTCAAGACAGAGGCAAGCACTACATGCTTGTTTGGTAAAAATTTGATCAGCCTTTTTCAGTATTTCCATTCCAAAGTCTTCAAGAATTATTTCCAGTAAGGAAACATTGATCCCTTCTACCACACACCTTTCTCCTGAGCCAGTGTTTATCAATGCAACTGAAAGTTTTGCATTAGTCTTTCCAGAAATCTTTGTAAGCATTTTTCTATGTCTCAGTATTACAGAACAGTTGATGGA